CCCAACGTGCTGCCATTGCTGCATTTGAGGCACCGGCTCTGCAGGCTCAGCCCATTGAGCCCCGTGCACCACTCCAGTGTAACAGTCAATGGCATCCGTGGATCATCTGGGGGGAGGCAGAGGAAGGGGTTTTTTGACAACATGCCCAATATCTAGGATCCCACTCAGCCAAGCCCGCCCCTCTTTGTAGTTGCCATGCCTGACAGCAAGTTCATAGGCTGCCCCTCCCGCCAGGGATCAGCCTCCCAAGCTGCCCCCCCTGGGGCACTCAAGTAGTAGAGGGCGGTGCTGTTCCCTCCTTCCTGGAGCCAGTACAGGGCAGGGTTTTGGAAGCCCAGGGCAGGCAGCGGCGGCAGCAGCAGCACGTTGGGAAAGTAGAGCAAAGCCAGAGGGGCTTTGCTCTACTTTCCCAATATGCCGTCGTCGCTGCATTCAGGCTCACTCATTAACTGTTGCACTGGAGTGGTGCAATGGGCTCAATGGGGTGAGCCTGCAGAGCTGGCGCATTAAATGCAGCCGTGGTGGCATGTTGGGAAAGTAGAGCAAAGCCACTCTGGCTTTGCTCTACTTTCCCAACGGGCCACCGCTGTTGCATTCTGTCTGTCTGTCTGCCTGCCTGCCTTCCTATCTACCTACTACCTGCCTGCCTGCCTTCCTGGTACCTGCCTGCCTGTTTGTGTGCCTTTCTATCTACCTACCTACCAATATATCTATCTATCCATCCATCAATCCAAAAGGTATGTCTGTCTACTTACCTACCTACCTACCAATATATCTATCTACCTACCTATCTACCAATATATCTATCTATCCATCCATCAATCCATCTATCTATCAATCTACTTACCTATCTACCAATATATCTATCTATCCATTTATCCAATAGGTCTGTCTATCTGTCTACACACCTACTTGCCTACCTACCTACCTACCAATCTACCAATATATCTACCTACCTACCTACCAATATATCTATCTACCTACCTACCACTCTATCTATCCATACATCAATCCATCTATCAATCTACCTACCTACCAATATATCTGTCTATCTACCAGTATATCTATCTACTTACCTATCTACTTATCTATCCATACATCCATTCAAAAGGTCTGCCTGCCTGCCTACCTACCTATCCATATTCATCCAAAAGGTCTGCCTACCTGCCTGCCTACCTACTGATCAATATATCTACCTACCTACCTACCTGTCTCCCTCTGTCTCTCTCTATTTATCTATCCATCTACCCATCCGTTCATTTCGAGGCACCAGCCCGTAGACACATTGGGAAAGTAGAGCAAAGTTCAAGACTATATCAGGAAGCTCTCACATTTTGTTGAGGCTTTAAACAGGATCCATTGGACCAGACCTCAACCCTAAAACACTACTTTTCCCCAATGTATTACAGTGCCAATTCTGAAGAAGGCAAAACCAAAATGTACTGGTAAATTACGAGAAAACACACACACACACACACACACACACACACACACTCCCTTCTAACCTGCTGGAGCAGGTGATTTGGACTAGAATACATGTCTCATTATCTTTCTCCTCCCTCCCTCCCTCCTTCTTTATTTCTTTTTCTTTCTGTCCTTTCTTTCCATCCCCCCCACTCTTTCTTTGTCTGTCCCTTTTTCTTTCTTTCCCTTTTCTCTTCCTTTTCTTCCAACAGCATTTGGAAGAACTGATATGCCTTAAAGATTGCAATGAAATGCAGAAACAGTAAACAGTAGGTACAACTTGTTGTACCAGCCTCCCTGCTACATTGCAGTTTCCCACCTAGGCTCCTGGACCTCACTACAGACTGTAAGTAGAGTTCCTCAGGCTTATAGTTCTCGGAAACTTCAATTTGCCATCCCTGGGGGTGGGGTCAGAGGTAGCTTGGGATGTCATGGAAAATATTACTTCCATGAGCCTATCACAGGTCATCCAGAACCTGAGTAAGAATAATAGTTGCATACATGATTTGGTGTTCTAGTTGAAGCAATGCCTACATGATCGGGAATTGGTGGACCTATCTTTGGTCCCCCCTGTCCCATACAGATCACTGTCTGGTACTGATGAGTTCTCTAGAACTATACCCTCTGTTGGAGGCAGGACCTATGGTGACTAATGGACTTGGATGGGTTTCAGAAAGAACTGGAGGTTATTACTGAAGGTATGTCTGAGGTCTTAGTCACCACTAGGAATAGGAACGTGATTGAGGCTATGAATAGGATTGCATCCATGCAACCTCTCCTAACACATAGACATGTCCCCTGTGGTTTATGAAAAAATTAAGAAGGATGAAAGAGATAAAGAGACATTCTAGAGCACTGTTGGGAGAAAACAAGGGATGAATTTGATCGAACACAGGTAATAGCTGCTATTAAAGCCCACCTCGCAGTGATTCAGGAAGCAAAGTATAAGTACTTCTCTGCACTAACCGAATCTGCAGATAATTGGTCAGCAACCCTCTTTGTGAGCCGTCTCCTCCAAGTGAAGGAGGACAGAGGTTCACCTGAAGGGACACACTGAGGATTTTGCTGATTTTCTGGAAGAAAAAATAGCTCGGATTGTTCCCATTAAATGTCAGTATGGCTGCTGATCAAATGGAGGCATCTGGGGCAGGTTCCTGCTCAGGTATCTGGGAACAGTTTGATCCTGTTGCACCTGAAGAGTGCACAGGATCCTAAGGAGTATATGTGCAAACCATTTGTATTTTAGATCCATGCCCCTCCTGGCTTGTGAAAGTTTCTCAAGAGGTGACATGTAAGTGGGTTCTGGCAGTAATTAATGCTTCCTTGTAGGAAGAGGGATATGTCCAGGACTTAAAGACATTAGTCGACCCTCTTCTTAAGAATTCATTGCTAAACTCTAGTATAATCTTTGTCCCGTCTCCAATCTTCCCTTTCTGGGGAAGGTTGTTGAGAAAGTGATTGTGTGGTAGCTCCAGAGGTTTCTGGAAATGGATTATCTAGATCACCCCCTAGGGGTGCGAGACGATATTCCAGGGGGTGCGAGAAAAGTCCAGGTAAATAATAGGATATTGGCTATATGTTGGCATTTTTATTTATTATGCAATGGATTAACTTTGTTTTCATTTTAGAGTTAAGTATCGTTATTTAGTGGCCCTCACATACATAGCTGAAAAGATTCAATTCTACCATATATTTAACGCGTTCAGTAGTTCCTAAAGTCTAAATTTCAGGGGGTGCGAGGTTCGAGTGAAATTTCTTTAGGGGTGCGGGGCGAAAAAAAGGTTGGGAACCACTGATCTAGATCCTTTCCAATCAGGATTCAGGACATGGGATGGAAAACAGCATTGGCCACTAGAGGTCATTTTGATGACTTCTAGTGGGAGTGGGATGGGAATAATGCATCCACCCATACTCTACTTGACCCCTCAGTGGCCTTTGATATTATCAACCATGGTATTTTTCTGGAGTAGCTTTGGGGATGGGGGTGGGGGCTCTGTGTTGTCCTGGTTCACTTCCTTCCTCTATAGTTGCAGTCAGTCAGTGCTGATAGGAAACAAAAGGTCTGGACCTCATCTCCTGCTTTGCAGTGTTCTACAGGCCTTAGAAATTTCTCCACTTCTGTTTAACATCTACATGAAGCCAATGGATGAGATCATCCACCACTATGGACTAAGACAGGAGTCTCCAACCTTAGCAACTTTAAGACTTGTGGACTTCAACTCCCAGAATTCCTCAGCCAGCAAAGTCTTAAAGTTGGGCTAAGATATCATCAATGTACTGGTGACATTCAACTATGTGTCTTGGCTCACACTGAGTTAAGCGATGCCATAATCTTTTTTTCACAGTGCTTGGAGACTATTAAGGCTGGATGGAGACAAACTGAAACTGAACTCTGGCAAGATGCAATGACTTGGCATTTTGAGTTCTTTGGTCCATAGAAAATTTCATCTTTTGATCTTGGATGTGGTAGCACTGCCCCAGTCAAGCCCAGTGCATAATCTGGGCATTCTCCTGGATTCACTAATCCTGTTAAGGAAGCAGACAGCAGTCATGGCCAGGAAGGCATTTGCACAACTGCAACTTATGCACCCGTTACAAACTTTTCTGGCTCAACAATCCCTGCTTACAATCAATCATGCCCAAGTCACCTCTTGTTTTGACTATTGTAACACACTCTATATGAGCTACCCTTGAAAAGTATCTGGAAACTTCAATTGGTTCAGCAATCCACATGGTTTTGCATAGGTCTATGTGTGCACATGTGCCATCTCTCCTGCAGGAGCTGCATTGGCTGCCAATTTGCTTCTGGGTCCAATTCAAGGTATTGGTTGTCACCGTTAAAACTCTATAATACTTGGGACCTGGTTATTTGAAGGAGCATTTTCTCCTGGTACCTGATTCACAGAATGGAAGGCAAAGAATGCTGTAGGTCCCCTCTCCTAAGGAGGTCTCTTTGCAAGACCCTGAAGACCTGGTTTTGCCAATGGGCCTGGGGAACCCAGAGTGGGATGAAGCACATAAGTAGCTTATTGACTGACTGATTGTTGCTGGTGGGGGGGGGGGATTATTGCTTTTTATTATTTTATATTGGATTTTTATCTTTGTAAGCTGCCCAGTCACTGAGAGTGAGTTGGGCAGCTGTATAAATTTTCATAAACAAACACATTTAATACTTTTGAATCAGTGTTGACTCCTGGAAATGAATGAATGAATTAAATTAAATGTGTTTGTTTTTGTATTTCCTAATCAGTGTTGACTCCTGGTGGCTACCTTGACTAATTCCTGTAAAGGGGGGGGGGGGGGGTTGACAAGGTTATTTGGAAATTGTGTGCCATTTCTTCTTCCTAGGGGTAAGAAAAAGGGACTAGCCCAAATCACACACCTGGTTTGTGCCTAAGAAGGGAATAGAACTTATAGTCTCCTGGTTTTCTAGCCTGTTGCCTTAATCACTAGACCAAACTGGCTTCATATGTAATTGGGAGAAGAAAAACAATATCTTTTAAACATGTAATCTTGATTGTTGTTGCAACACTTACATCTGTTTCTGTGATTTTGCTGAATGATTCCTTTATTCTTGAACACCACCAATTTTCAACTTTCTTCCTGGTCTCTGATGTATAATTTTGTTCCCACTTTCCTGTTTCACTAAAAATAGTTCTGCTCCATCTTAGGATTCGCCTATTCTGCCATTTAGTTGGGTCTAGTACTCCATTCAGTTGTCTTCTCCAACATGGATACAAAAATACCGTATTGCAACGGAACATTCTGTGCAGAATATGTTGGCAATCCTATTGAAGACAGGAAGTAATTTTTATTTCAGTAATAATTAGGTCTTAGGAGAAGATGGATTCATTTAGTTTTTAAAAAATATTGTACTTTTTGGAGAATTTTTAATAGCAAAACTTTTTTCAAATATATCATAGGTTTACAATCTATCTATACATCAGTCTTTATTAATACTTTGATTGGGCTAGATGGAACTGTGTTATTATAATAAAGCATATTTGAGTCAAAAGGCAACAAAATAAGCAAACTGATGTTATAAGTTATTGCATATTTTCTAAACATTATTGCTGTGCAATATTTTCTATGGAAATGAGAATACATTTAAAACAAACAAAATAATTAATTGCAGGCATATCAATACAACTCTACTGTAATTGTGCTTTCATGAAATTTGTTCACCTATAATCCTGTAAATATAATAAATATTGGCAGTGTGCCACAAAATGCAAAGGAATGTTTGTTAGTTAAAATTTACATGTTGAGGACACCTCTTGAAATGAGTTTAACACTTCAGAATCACAAATTGAAAAAGTATAAATGATAATTCTCATATTAATTGCTGTTGAAATCTACCTTTAAGTTTTTACTCTACTAAAAGATTGTTTGTAAATATAGAGAATTCACAATTGAATATTGAATTTCCTAGTTATACAACCCTTTTTCATTACAGCAGAAAATAGAGACAAAAGTCCAGCAGGAATATAGCAAGTACACAGATATATATGAAAGGAAAAAATTGCAGGTGCCATTTGCGTCTGTGAGACGCATTCAACCGATCACTGAAATTTGATTTCATCTGATTTACATTCATGACCATTTTAGTTAATCTGCTTATAATGTACTAAACAGCCATATATATTAAGCGCAGTTGAATGTTATAATACAGAATAATCCCACAGGCTATAAATTACTTTTTGTGTCAAATTTAGAATACATGTCCTTATAATTATATTAATACTTCCGGGCCTCTTCAACTAAAAAATTAAATTGCAGTACTGTCTTGAGCAGGAGTAGGAAACCTAAGGTATCTAGAGCCGCGATTCTTAAACTTGGTAACTTGGGGTGGGAGGAGAGAATGTTGCAAGTAGAGGAAGAGAAGCAACGTTTTTAGAGCAGTACTTACAAAGGAATAGGAAGGAGCGTGGTTCACATGTCCAGGAACACATCAACCAGTATGGGCGCTGCCATCTTACTTTGTGCTCCTCCTTCGGCGAGTAATAAAAGGCCGGCTCGCGCAGGCGCACAACCACCCCAGTAACTTGATAGGAGGATTAGAAAACCTGTGCTCTTTGAGAAAGGGTTGGGCCTTGATTCGACTAGATTGGAGTCTCGGGAGACCTAGGAAAAAATGTGGTTTGAAATGTTTAGCTTGCTCTCCCCCCTCCTTTTCCTCTTTTTCCTTATTCTAGGGAGAAATACTTCCTAAAGGAAAATGCTTTCTAGATAGTTCAAACTGTTTCCCCTACTTTATTACGTTTCTGTTCTTCGAAAATACTTGTGTACGTTCTTTCTTGCCAGGATCCCAAACTACGTTTTAATTGCGGAACTGCCCAATTTTTTAATGGAATTGAGTACTTTTTATAATTCTGCAATTACAATCTTAATGGGTTTTTTTCTTTATTGGATCGGTTATAAGATGATGGTAGTATCTCAGTGGTATTACACAGTCTTATCATTTATTATCTGATTATATTTTTGTTTTTCCTCTACAAGCTGAACGGATAAACATTAACAACATTCATTATTTCTGTTTCCCACTTTATCATCCTTGGAAAAACGTGGCATTGCATTCTGGGATAAAGTTGAATCCGGTTGTGTGTTAATTTTTCTTCCAAAGTTCGAGGGGGGGGGGAACAAAAGACAAATCAGACTTGGAAATTTGCACTTCTCTGGAAAAACAAAAAATTGTATTTTTTTAGCAACTGAATATGGCAAAACAATATTGCCACTTTAAAAAATAAAATGTTATGCAGAGTAGGATGCCATATACATTATAGGTTTCTATTCTTCCGTTCTCCCCCCTTTGGCATTGATTGTGTTAGTTTTTTTAGAATATATTTTTATTAAAAGTTTTTTTCTTAATAGTCCTCAACTTATGACACAATTGAGCCCAAAATTGCTGTTGCTAAGTGAGAGATTTGTTAAGTGAGTTTTGTCCCATTTTGTAATCTTTCTTGCCACAGTTGTTAAGTGAATGTTTGCAGTTAAGTTAGTAACATGGTAAGTGAATCTGGTTTTCCCGTTGACTTTGCTTGTCAAAAGATGGCAAAAGGTGACTACATGACTTCAGGACACTGCAAAGCATCTGAATTTGTGACCATGGATATGCCACAAAGGTCGTAAGTGTGAAAAATGGTCATAAGTCACTTTTTTCTATGCTGTTGTAATTTTGAACGGTCACTAAATGAACTGTTATAATCCTCATGCAGGAGGATTTCCTGCATGAAATAGAAAAATAAAGACAATGGAAAAAGAGGGAATGAAAGGACAGAGGAAATAAATTGTGGAAAGAGGAAAAAGAAAAGAAGAGCTTCTGGGGGATTTTCAGTGCAGTAAAAGTATACAAGGTACACAATAAAATTATAGTACCAATTTTTTACTTATATCAAATGGTAATTACTAGCCATTTTTATAGCAGTAACCCAAAAATATAATTTTAATAACCCAAAACCCAAAAATATAATTTTCATTTTTTTCTCTTTCATGTGGAAAGGCCCAGAAGCAGTTTCCAAGTAACCATAAAGCTACTTACATTCCTATCCCTACTCGTGCAATCAACTCTGTCTGCCATTTCCATCATTTTTCATTTTTTTCAACTCATTCCTCCATTGTGGACGTTAACACTTCCCATTGTTGGGCATATAAAATTCTTGATGTAGCAACAAAGTTCCATTTTCCCCAATTCTTTCTCTAATAATTCTAGAAAAACAGTTTTCGGTTTCCATTGTAAGTCCTTTTTTAAAATCTTCTGATTAAACTATGAATCTATTCCCAATACGTCCACCACATATGATAAAAAGTACTTAAATTTCTAATAAACATTAAACACCACTGACACATCACTTTATAGAAGTTTTCATTAAGTTTATAATTCAGCATAAATTTCAGTCCTTTAATCCACATATTTTCCTATTGCTCTAACATAACAATTTCTTGCCCATTGAATCAAGCGATGTTTAACATTTTCACTTTCTAAATTTAACTAAAAAGTTTTTTATAAACTTTAGCTGTAAGATTTTCATCATGGATACAGAGTATTGATTTAAAAACATTACAATAATTTCTTGCCCATTAAATCATGCAGTGTTTAATGTATTCACTTTCTAAGTGTAACTGTAACTGCATTTTATAAACCTTAGCTACTTATAAGTACAGAGTATTGATTTAAATTCATTTTTAGCAAATTCAAACCGTATTTTTAAAAAAATCTGAAGTAAACCTTTGTTTCAACTGTAGATAGGTAAACCACTGATATGTATGAACTTCAAACTCCATATCTTCTTTTTATTTGAGAATAGGTTCATCTTAAACAAAGGATATTATTTCACTGTATCTACCACTTGGAGTTCACTATCATTTCCTTTCTAAAGAGGTTTTTTAGGTAACACCCAAAGAGATATTTTAAGAAAAAAACACTTTATATTTATTCCAAATTCTATAAATGGCAATGTGACCCTTGAAATCTATAATCATTTTAATTTTACCATAGATAGCTGTGCCATCTATGGTAAATTCATGACCTTCTATATCCAGTAACATCTATTCTTTAGAGTTACCCTTATTCCTTCAGCAGAATCAAACAACTTACCTCAAAATACAGTTTTAAATCTGGAAGACCCAAACCCCCTCTTTTTTTCGCATCCTGCAACAATTTATACTTAATTCTTGGGGTTCTTTTCCCTCTTGCCAAATAAATTTAGAGGTGTCCCCTTGCCATTGCTTAAATGGACCTTTGATCATCAATATTGGCAATATTGATTGTATTAGTTATATACGGTAGATAGTAAAATAAATTCTTCAGTTGAAAGAAAGTTTTTTCTCAAAACAGATTTTAAATCTTTTTTTTATCTATCTAGTCATTGTGTTTATTAAAAATATTTACATTTTTAAAAGCAAATACATTCACAAGTTACCATGCTCAGTAAAATCTGCTCCAATAGAAGCACTACAAGAATAAAAGAGCAATGCTGATAAATCCATTAATGCCAATAATCAAAATATCCAGCATCCAAAAAATGCTAATGTTGGAAAAAACATCCATCTGATTCAGTTCCAAGCAGGGAGAAAGACTCTGGAAACATGGAAGCTGATTGAAAAGATGGTTTATTGATGAACAGGACCACATGGGTTTGAGGCTGTGGGCAGCTGACCACATGGAGTTGAGAACGGATAGCTTTTGGGCTTTGAACTTGAGCTTCCTGTTCCTGTGCAAGAAAATGTATTCTATTGGTTGCTGTCAGACTCCCATGGGACTATGCAGAGGTCATAGCTGAGGTCTGAGATAAGTTGACACTCTTGTGAGCTGATGGGTGAGGGGCCCTTCTGCTCCTCGCTGAATGAGGGGGGCAGTGTCCCACCCCCCCATAGCTAAGCGCCCCTACTGGATTCCTACGATTGTCCTCTGGACCCTCCCTGCTTTATTGTATTTGGAAGAGCGTCTCCCTAATGGGACTTCTTCATGCATACTTCTAGTTACATGAACTTCAACTACGTGGACAATGGAAGAAGCATAATCACATAGTGGGAGGAAAAGTTGCTACTAAAATAAAATAAAATAGTAGGAAGAGAGGTAGAAAGGGAAAGATAAGTCATAGAAAAAGAAAAAAGACTGGAGAAAGGAAAAGAGGCAGATTGGAGAAATTAAAAGAGAGAGATGCTCAGCTGCACCCACGAGGCCTGAGAGAAGCCCAGCTGTACCGGAGGGGCCTACCCAAGAGACTGGAGTCCCATCGAAGTGAGGCAAGCAGAGAGGCAAATCGACTGCAGATAGCAAAGCCAACTGGTGGAGGATAAAGAGGCGAACGAGTGGGGCCAGCTGCGAGGCAGGTGTTCTGATCCGGCCTTTGCAGAACCAAGAAACAAGACTCCCTACAAAGAAAAACCCCTCTTTATTTAGACCAGTGGTTCCCAAAGTGGGCGGTACTGTCCCGGGGCAGTGGGATGCCTTAGGGGGGCGCTAAGAGGCAAGGGGGCCGGCAGGGGAGCGTTTGAGGCGCCGGCCCCACAGACTTACCCCATTGACTGTTTCACCATTTGAATGTGGAACCACTGCGTGGTGCCTCAAATGCAGAACCTGCATGCAGCGAGCCTTGCCAAGCCTGTGGGGGGGAGGTGGCGGAAAGGGAGCGCCTTAGCTTGCAGGCTGCCCTCTCCAATAGAAGTGGTGGAGACGCACCAGAAGGCCCAAAAGCAAAACCCTCCCAAGGCGCGCAGTGGAAGGGGTGGGTGGTCTGGTGTTAGGGCCCCCTTCCCCGGAGGAGAAGGGAGCGCACAGCACCTGCCCAGCCTCCACCTCTCCAGCCAGCCGGGCTTGCACACAGGATGCGGGTGGGTGCAGCTGCAGCTCTCCAAGGTGCGTGGCTCGGTTCGGTTTGGCTCTACGTGGCCGGGCCGGACCTAGAACCTAGCTTCCCTCTGCAGCCCGGTTCTACCGACCAAGCCCTGCGCTTGCTTGCTTGCTTACTTTCCAAGCGATTGTTCCCTTCGCCTGGGTTGCTTCCGCACACCTTCCTCCTCCTGGGCAGAGCGTAAAGATGGGTGGAGCGCTTCCCCAAAGTTGGGAGTAGCTGAGATGTGCAGAGCTCCTCCCCTTGTTTGGTCTGATGGAAGTGGACCTTGGATCGAAGCAAAGAGGGTGAAGTCGGCTGCATCGCTGCCCTGGGGAGGTTGTCATTGCAAAATTGGATGCCAAAGAAAGAACTGGGGCAGGGGGCTGGAGAAGGGGCAGAGGGGCAGCTGCATTAAGGAGCAGGAAGATCTTAGCCATGGTTTATTGACTAAGCCAGAATCAAACAGCATGCTAAACTCTAAACCAGAAGGCTGGCTTGATAAATTCAGCCTGTGTCACTCAACCTTGGCAACTTGTGTGGACTTCTATTCCCACTCTGGCTTTGCTCTACTTTCCCACAGTGATGCCCCTGTCGCATCTTATTTGTCTGTCTGTCTGTCTGTCTGTCCGTCCGTCCATCCATCCATCCATCCATCCATCCAAAAGGTC